CTGATCCAGTTTTTGGGCTTTTTCCTTTGCACACAGAGATTTCTACAGATTCCCTGAATCTTTTGATGATGTTGTGTTCTGTTGAGGTTGAAACCCCTAAAATCCTTGCAATCCCTGGCTGAGAAACATTACACTGTTGATATTTTTGCTGTTGCATTTTTTAATATAGTGGCAAGCCTCAACCCCTCCTCGCTCATAAAGGACTCAGCCTTTCCTGGATGCTCCGTTTATATCCAAGCAGGACTGAATCACCTATTTAAGATGTTTTTTAATAATTTACAATATTTCTAGACTTCAATTGCCACTGTCTCAACTTTTTTGGATTGTGTTGTAGACATCAATTTCATAATGATTGTGCATTTACAAAGAGACAATGAAGTTGATAAAATATAAGTGTAAAATATTACGTCTCTTGTCTTTGTACTGTTTTCGTTCAAATATAGGTCAAAGCAGATTTATAAATCACTGCTTTCTGTATTTATTTGCATTTTATGCATTTACTGTTCCAACATTTTTGAAATTGGGTTTGTAATATGTCCATCAATGTTTTTGCCTTATGGTAAATGCATTTTGTAAAAGTTTTATAAAAAAAGTTTCTTTTTGGCCAACTTGAGGCTTCATAGCACTACAATGAGAGTCAGTCGTGATATTTTTTCTATAGGTCTTTGGGTTCAACCGGGAAATCTTTGGAACAGAGAGTCAAGCTTAAATTTGCTGTCTGCCAAAAATATTATGCACTGATAAACTAACACGTTCTCTCTCTTTCTAAAAGTATAAATGAAGTAAATTTAAATGATGTAAATGAAAAACATTTTTGAAAGTAAATATGAAGGGAACTGCTTGCTCTTTCTCTCTCTTTCTCTCTCTCTCTCACTCACTCACTCTCTCTCTCCGAAGGCTGGGTAACTGCAGTATTACAGATGAAGCCTGTGCTGCTCTGGCTTCAGCTTTCAGAACAAACCCATCACACCTAAGAGAGTTGGATCTGAGTGGGAATAAAGTAGGAAACTCTGGAGTGAAGCACCTCTATAAATTATTAACGCATTCAAAGAGCCCTCTGGAAAAACTACAGTAAGTGAAGTCTTCCCTCCTCCCACCTCATTCACCATCAGTCAGTTTCTGAGCACAGGACTAATTCCCAGCACAGCAGAGACACTGACATTATAGTGGAATGGAAGAGTGTGGTGCTGGTTCAGGTGTATGAAATATATACGTACTAAACCATGTAATTGTTTTATAATGTAAATCATTAATATTAAACTCCTGTTTTTGGGCAAATTGATATTTAAAAATATGAACAACACTTTCTTACATGGTAAAAAAAACCTAAAAGACAGCATTGAAAGGAGCACAAAAACCAATCACATAAGTCAATTTGTGCAATTTCTCATGAATAATAGTGCAGTACCTCTGATAATGTGTGGGTTTAAGCTTTAATGAAATATGTAATTATCATTGACAGGGTTCAACTCAAGATAAAAGCAATCAGAACATTCTATTAAGTTGTAATGTCTTTTTGTATCATTATACTTTTAGTCTCAGTTTTTACTCCCATTGTAAATCACAACAAACTCCATTATACTGTTTTAGTATGGTTAACATATGTTCTCTCTCCAGTCTTTCCTTCTGCAGTATAAAAGAGGAAGGATATGCTGGTCTGGCTTCAGTTCTGAAATCAAACCCCTCATCACACCTGATAGAGCTGGATCTCAGAGGAAATGATCCTGGAAATATAGGAGTGAAGATGCTCACTGATCTATTAGAGGATCATAACTGTAAACTGAAGACTCTGAGGTAGATATTTTGGGAAATGTGTAGTGACATAACATTTTCTTTTAGCCCAAACCTAAATCAAAATTCAGTATCCACTGTTTAACCTCTAATCTTCACTGTAACTAACTAAACTGGGCTAGTATTTACCTACACTGTAATAATAAACCATTAAAATTGAATTTCCTTAAAATTTTACCCTTTCTGCAGGTTGTTGAAAAGTTCTGCAGCAGAGGAAGTCTGTAATTCTCTGACTAAAGTTCTAGGAATAAACCCCTTACTGCAGAGAGAGCTGGATCTGAGTGGAAAAATAGGAGATTCAGAAATGAATAAGATCTCTGATCTACTGCAGGATTCACACTGCAGAACTCAGAAACTTAAGTAAGGCATTTTTGATTTTGATGTATGTTGTCAATATACAATACATTGTAAGACATTGGCAGACAATATCAAGACAGCAAGATCAAGATAGTCAAATTCTAATTAAATTTAAGCTTTCAATCCAGTAATTATTTATGAGTGAAGTTTCTTAAAATTAACTTTTCTGCATCATCACTCTCTGTCTGCAGGCTGAATAAGAGCAGTATTACAGAAAAAGTTTGTGCTGCTCTATCATCCGCTCTTTGTTCAAATTATTCACACCTGATAGAGCTGGATCTGAGTGAGAATAAACTAGGAAACTCTGGAGTGAAGCAGATCACCAAACTACTAAGTGATTCAAACAGCAACCTTGAAAAGCTAAAGTAAGTGTGTTGATAAATTTAAACAGAAATTGCGATTAATTTAGAATTTAAGATTTTGATTGTAATTTTCTCTTTTCTACAGTATCTCAGACTGCAATATAACAGGCGCAGGATATGCTGATCTGGCTTCAGCTCTGAAATCAAACCCCTCATCACACCTGATAGAGCTGGATCTCAGAGGGAACGATCCTGGAGATAAAGGAGTGGAGGAGCTCACTGATTTACAAAAAGACCCAAAATGTAAACTGAAGACATTGAGGTGAGCAATTTGTAGGCATATCAAAATCTGAGTCTAGTCTTTAAGATACAGCAGTAAAGCTGTTCACAGACTTATTCATGGATTCAAGGAAAACACTACAGTGAGAAATAAAATTAAATCTTCTTAACAGGTTTTACTGTTTTTTTTTTTAAATTAGCTTTTTTAGTAAAAATCCATTTAGAGCAAATACATATTCTGAAAATTCTTATTTATTTCTACTAAATTGTCACCTTAACAATTGAAATATTTAATTGCTTTATGCATTATTTGATGTGTGTTCAGTAAACATGCTGATAAGGTGTACTGTGTATTAAAAAATGGGAACTATACTACAATTTTAGCACACACAATAATGGAGGAGGCACCTTTCTTTAACAGACATACTCAGTAATTGCATACTGATTACTCAAACTTTCTGATTACTGTAATGCAAAGTTTCTAAGGTGGCTGTGTTTCTTCTCTCTACAGACTGTTGAAAAGCAGTGATGCAGAGAAAGCCTACAATTGTCTTAATATGCTTCTGCGTAAAAACCCCTTACTGCAGAAAGAGTTAGATCTGAGCAGGACTGAACTAAAAGACATCAAAGTGCAGCAGCTGTGTGCTCTACTGGAGGATCCACACTACAGACTGAAGAAACTTAAGTAAGACATTGGATTAATTAAATACATTTAGACTGATTTTCTAGCTGCACACTGGCCTTATGCTAATTTCTGTAAACATAGTTTATCCACAGTGGAAATTCTACTGAGACTGCAATTAAGGCCCAATGAATATTTCAAATTTTACACATCTGTTAACAATTAATGACCTTAAAGAGTGTTGTAATCAATCTAATTATATTGTTCACTTGTGCAGCTGTTTGTCATGTGCAATGATCTCAGACTTGATTTCATCCCAGATTTGACTTCAGCTCTTAACCCTTTAAATGGCCGGGGCCCACCAGTGGTCCCAAAGTTTTATTACACATTTCTATAACCTACGAATAGCTCAACCAGTTTGCACTGAAGTTCCTTTAGTTGCTGAATAATAACCCTTAGTATGTAAAAAGCCTGGGATTATAAATTATTATTACATTATATTCTGTGGAAGTGTTCTAATACACTTCCATGCACTTTTCACACTTACCCAGGGATGCAAATGAGGCCAAAGCATATATACAACAATTAAAACATAAAACTAGGTGAAGAACACCTGCAGTTAGAGTTATCTTACTGTCATATTGCCTACTAGAGGATCCACACTGTACATTTTTGTCTAATGGCTTGTAAATCAGTAAAGTATATTTCATGTATTTTCTGATGCATATCCAGTACATCATTTGCTTGCTCTTTGTCTAAGGAAGTCTATGTCCCATAAATACATGCCCAAAACTTCCTATACTCAACATGTCCTGTACATGTCCATTGTAATTTTAGCTATCATATGGCAGCCTAGTGGTAAGAGGGTAGAGCCAGCGACTAGAAGGTTGTGGATTTGGAATCCTTATTTTTTAATGTTCCCTTGGACAAGGCACTTAACCCCCTAACTGCCCTGTGTGGTGCTGCTCTGCTGGCAATGTTGTGCTGCTCTCAGACTGGGCACAGTTAGGTAGCAAAATGATAAATTTCTCTTGTAGGATAAATAAATTACATAAAAACAGCCCAGTTTTACTCACACACAAACATAAGCAGTAACATAGGTGGTTCACAAAGAACAGAGTAGGGGTATTTTGTTGAGTTATGTGATGGCATGAGCACAGGTCTGCACCAATCAAGGAGGATCTTTTTGTATCCCTAATAACTATGTTAAATATAACATCTTGGTTACAAAAGTAACTACATTTGATTATGGAAAACCTTATGAATTAATGTCAGGAAGACACATGCAGTTTACATTAGCATATTTATTACAGGAAAAAACAAAAGTGGACAGAAAATGAACTTGCAGAGCAGTTGTGAACTGCTGCACACTGTGCAATGCTGTGTAAAATCAGCATCAGAAACAGCTTTATTTCAAATGTATTACAGATGCAGTACTATAACAAAGGGCTCTGATCCAACTGCAGCTTTATTAAACTGGGAGTAAGACATAAACAGACATAAACAGGCATACACAATGCAAAACCCAAGATGTGATCAGCAGAATATTCCAGGTGTGAAAGACACAAAATAACCAGAGAAAAATAAGTATGCATGATTAGAATTGCAGTGGAGAAACAAACAAGACTTTGCAAGAAAAGAGAACACAGAGACTCCATTTAAAGCCCACTAATGAGCCCCATATGACAAACAGGTGCTAAAGAAAGGAGGAGAATCCCCAGGCCTATATGTTACAAGCACACCATTTTATGCAGTAGAAGACTGTGTTAACACTTAATCTCATTAACATGTACAGGCATTGCATTAGAAAGAGAAAATGTTTTATTTGTTGTGTTAACCTTAATATGTTCATACACAAATAGACCAATATTATATATATAAATCATAGACTTGTTTTAATATAAAAAAATAAAAACTCCTGACTCTGTCTATCCTCACTCTCTCTTTCTCTCTCTCTCTCTCTCTCTCTCTCTCTCTCTGCAGGCTGTATAAATCAGGCAATATTACAGAGAGAGAGTGTGCTGCTCTGATTTCTGCTCTGATTGTAAACCCCTCACACCTGAGAGATCTGGATCTGAATGAGAATAAACTAAATGAATCAGGAGTGCAGAAGCTCTGCATTCTACTGAAGAATCATCTCTGTAAACTGGAGAAACTGACGTGAGAAACTATTAGCAGTTTAATCAGCATTGTATTCAGCATGTTAGCTATTCATTAGGAGCTACACCTTTGGATTATGATTTATCAATGATTTGGCACAATTACAGTTCTATAGGAAACAATTCAGTGCATCATGAAATGTCTTTTAATACACTGGATAAACAGATGTGCCTTGAGGAGACGTTTACACAGTATTGGAGTATAAACAGTACTGCTCTGTCTGCCAGCGAAATGAATCATGGAAAATTAGGCTCAGGACAGAGATCTAGTGGATTATTACTTAGAAACAGTCTATTTAGAAACAGTCATAGAATTTTATTTAGGCCATTACTATATGCATCTTCTAGCACTGATTTAATTTTCACTTTTAAGATAAACACCCCTTTCATTAAATATATTGCTGTTGTCAGAAGAAAACTTTGCATCTCCAAAATGGTAACTTTACAGGAGAAAGAAAAAACCTACTTTACTTTTAAATGTAAGTCAAGTCAATGGAACCAGACTTTGTACCAAGTCATTTTGAGCCATTTCTTTTGGTCCATTCATCATGAAATTTATCACACAATGTAAAGAGAAACAGGCATTTTCAAATTATGTCAAAAACTGAAAAACGTCAAAAATGGAGATACAAGGTTTTCTTCCAACAACAGCAATGTATTATGTGCAGTTTCATATGCACAACACAGATTCGATTCCATTTCTTAGTTGAACTGTAGTAACTTTATTTGAACTTTTTTTCTTCAGGCTAAATAAGACCAGTATTAAGGGCAAAGGCTGTGCTGATCTGGCATCAGCTCTTTCTTCAAAACCTTCACACCTAAGAGAGCTGGATCTGAGTGAGAATGAAATTGAGGATTTAGGATTGAAGCATTTTTGTGCTGTACTGAAGGCTCAGGAGTGTAAACTAGAAAAACTACTGTAAGTAACTCAGCCATCATGTAATACAAACAAATTTGAGCTTTAAAATGTCAAAACAAGTAAGAACCAACTTAGTCTTCATTAAAACTACTGTCAAACTACTGTTATTAAAATCTGTCTGTCTTCGTCTGTAGGCTAAAAAACTGTGGTATAGAAGAGGAAGGCTGTGCTGCTCTGGCTGCAGCTCTGAAATCAAACTCCTCACACCTGAAAGAGCTTAACCTGTGTGAAAACAAACTAGGAATTTCATTGAATGAGCTTGCTGAAGTGCTGAAGAATTCAGGATGCAAGATACAGTAAGTATATGCAGATAGACAAAACAAGATCAGAGATGGATAACTTTGGATTTAACTCAGGATCTGACCAGCTCAGTTATATTAACTTATAACCCCAGAACAGGTTTATGTTGCAGTTCAAATTCACAAAAAATTTTGTGTGGGTTTTGCCTACAAGGCATAATAAGTCTATGGAATTTATTTAAATCTGTCTTTCGGCTAGCAGCCTAAAAGCAAAAGATTTTTTTATTGCATAAGCCATACTTGTCTCCTAATCCATGTATTTTTTTCAAAGGAAATTAAGTTACCTTTTTATGTGTATAAGCATTACATAACATGAAGAGCTTGTTTGTCAGGAAAAGTCAAATATCACCCATATGAAACAAATATTGTGCAAAAGGTACAAAGGAGATGCACTAAAAACAAAAATAAAATAATAATGGCATGTATGATAGGTTAACATGGTTAAACAATGAGAATGACTTTCTATTAGAAATTTTCAGTATTTTTTTATTTGTATATAGGATATTGCTCTCTGAATACTACACATAATACATCACTGCTGTCGGAAGAAACCTTGTATCTCCATTTTTGACGTTTTTCAGTTTTTGACATAATTTGAAAATGCTTGTTTCTCTTAACATTGTGTGATAAATTTCATGATGAATGGACCAAAAGAAATTACCCAAAATGACTTGGTACAAAATCTGGTTCTATTGACTTACATTAACAGTAAAGTAGGTTTTTTCCTTCTCCTGTAAATTTACCACTTTGGAGATGCAAGGTTTTCTTCCAACAACAGCAAAATGTTACTATAAATAAGTTAATTCATCCCAGATTGTACAACCTATACAATTCTTAGAAGGTATGGTTAAGTTATTACAATACAGTTCAGCCCTAAAGCTGTGTCAGTGCCACACAAACAGTGAGATGTTTGGTGAATAATATTTGTAATAACTCCTTTGTTCCTTTTTTTCCTTTCAGATTGGACTCCACATTTATGACACGTATTAAAGGAGGTTTAAAATCAGTATTTTCTTGGTTGGGAGGTACTGCTGAAAAATCAAAAACAGTAGGTGAAACCATGACTGTAAAGACAGAGATGGAAACAGGAGGAGAAGATACAGGTGACAAGCAAACAATGGAAATTGGAGTGGATGAGGCAAACAGGCCAACAGTGCAGAGTGCCCAAGAGACCAGAACTGAACGTAACCCAGCGGTGGAGACTTCAGAGAGCATGACGATGGTAGCAGATTCACTAAGAAAATCCCAGAAACAGTTCACACACTAGATCCACTCACATCCACTCTGAAAAAATATGGAAACAATGGAAATTAATGTGTTCAATGAATAAAACCTATTTTACAAATGTCAGAAATAAATCACAAATCATCTTCACTTTCTTGTTATTACAGATTCTACCCCAGCCCCCCAGGCAGGTGGTACAGCAGAATTACCTGTGTTGCAATGTGGTGCACTGAGCCCTCTTTTATAGAATCTTTTTACGGTTATTTATTTTAATATGTTAATTGCTCACGCTGACTTTTATTCTCTATAAAAGATGCACAGTACTTTCTTTGCTGGATGAAACATGTTTTTTTCAGAGTCAGTGTGCAGGCTCATTCAGAGCTCAGTTAAGATCAGTAAGAGCTTATTATTGCTTTGGTTAGTCAGAGTAACAGTACAGCGCCACTGCTGTGTGACTTGATGTGTGAAGGGCTGTGTCTCATGTCCTGACAGTAGTATTGGATCATCTCTAAAGAGCACATATATAAACCTTATTAAGTTGACCATTATAAGACCTTATTATACAATGGAGGAAAACAGTTGGTATCACTGTTAGTCCTCTGATTGTATTCCAGTCAAATTTAATTTAATGTAATTTCCTTCATCTGATTAACATAAGACTGCATTGCTTGTCCAGCTGTAATTGTTATCAGAGATGATCTTACAAGAACTCAGAAAAGTGGAGGGTCTTCTGAAAGAAGAATGAACTCTTGAGATCTTTGTCTCTTTGATGCTCCTTTTGTTCCAGGCTGGGTTGATTCCTAAATACATCACAAAAGCTCTAGAGGAGACCCTTGACTACAGCTTTAAAAAGTGCTGTATCATTACCTTTGGAAACATATTTGAGCAAAATGATTAACTTACAAAATTACAACTTAGAAATATGTTTCCTATACTGTGATCAAGTATTACATTAAAAAGATTTTTTAGTACTGACAGCTATGCCACTCTAAGACTACCAAGTCTTGATTTGTAAAGATCAACAGAGCATTAGTTTTATGCCTTGACGAGTGTCATTTACATCTTCAATTTCTTCTTTAAAAAGATGGGACAGTGTAAAGCGTTTTATATATATATATATATATATATATATATATATATGTATATATATATATATATATATATATACACACACACACACACACACACACACACACACACACACACACGCCATTTGAATGTACCACACTAGGGCCATATGGTCAATTAAAACAAACAATTTATTTAAAATGTAATATTTCACCAGTCAGTTGGGAACAAAATGTCAAACACAAAAAGAAGAGCTACTAGAACAACTCAATTTCTTCATTTGCAAAAAGCCACTAATCCTAGTGGCTTCGGTCATTTGTGACTCTCCTTTTAACTGTAGTGTACACTCTTCACATCAAACAACAGCAGGTGCCATTCAAACTTTTAATAGCAAGAAAACATTTGTGGAGCAAGGAGACTGGCACAGGTGACACAATGATCAAGCAGCCTGATTGTAATATCCAAATGGACTTAGTTAGTCAGAGATAAATGTGGGTACATGTTCCCTTGTTGTAGAGCTTCATCTCGTCTTTCACAACATAAGAGCTTTGGTTGGTTCCTTCTCCAGAGGCCTGTGTCTAAAAGACAAGGTCATATCAAACATTTGTTAAATGAGTAATGTGCCACTGATGTGTAATTTGATGTGTGAAGTGCTGGGAATTCTGTGCTGACAGAAGTACTTGATCTTCTCTGAGGGACAATGTACATAAACTTTAATAACAGGTGACATAATTTATTTGTTGCTGTGTTATGTATTTTGTTTGTTGTTGCTGTTGGAAATGGTCCAACTTTATTGGAGAAGCAAAAAGCTTTTTTTTTATTTCAATGCTATATGCAAAGTTAATGTACAGTAATTTGGACTATTGGTCCATTCACCACAAAATGTTACACCGTATAAGGGGCAGTTTTTAAATAGTAAAAATAATAAATTCTGACACGATGTGTGTACCTCATGTCATTCTGTAGTAATACAGACTCCTCTACTTGGGCTTCAATAAAACATCTGTATTAACATTTGTCTGGATGCACTTTTTTCCTCCAATATTTCTAAAAGTCCTGTTTAATAAATACAAAAAAGTTGGTATGTAATGTGACTAACAAAAAAAGTTGGTATGTAATATGTGACTAAAATTTATCCTTAACTTCAGCCTGTCAGTGTACATATTAATGGCTTTGAGAGTTTGATTCCTGTAGTTTTGGCCACGGCAAAGAATCTTCAGTTATCACTGGAGATGGTTATAAATTTAAGCATCAGAAACATGATTATGTGATAAACATGTAAGATGTACAGAACATAGGGTCTACAGGATTCAGTAGTGTAGCAACAAATACTCAAATAAAATTCAGTTCATTCAGGCATTGTGATATAAACTGAGTCTGTTCTACAGTTTCTCATTAGGCTGAATGGGATTTTTTTTTCCATATAGCTTGTCCAACCTCACATCATGAGCTATGAAACCATGTGTAGCTGAAAAAAAGAATATGGCTTATTACAGCAGCAGATGAGCTATCGTCTCTGATTTTACATCTACAAGGTGGACCGACAAGGTAGGAGTGTCTGATAGAGTGGACAGTAAGTGGACACAGTGTTTAAAAACTCTAGTCATTTAGTTAGTGTAATGTTTGCATGTGTAGCTCTGATATATATCAGTGATGCTTCAATGGTTGCTTAGACACAAATGTGACACAAGGATTGGATGTGAATCTCTGTGGTATCGTAGCCAAAATGCTTCAGGGCAGCAGGTAAAATGGGTTTTCCTATAGCTGCAGTAGAGTATGTAATGTTCACATTCAGTTCACCAGTAAATGCTGTGAAACATATTACTCATAGGTCTCTGTGGTCATCCGTATTCACATAGAGTGTAAATAACAGGACCTGAGCCAAGAGTCTTTGTTTTTAAATCAAGGGAGCTGTTTTGTAGTGTTTCTCCAGAGAGTTGAGAGAGTCTGAAAAGCCATCATATATAAAATGATAAAATGTGAAAGTAATTTTTTACCACTTTATCTTCCTCATTGTGTGGGTTCATTTTACTTGTTTGAATGCTTTTTTTTAACTTACCTTATTTATCTAGTCATAGGAAGGATGGACATATTTAAAAAGTACCAGTTGTATATGCAGCACTATGTATCCAGTTCCTTAAACATTTCTTCTTATTGGCAAGATCCACTGATGAACAGTAGGTGGCAGTGATGTCCATATAGTGCAGTGTCAGCCTTTCACTGGAACTGCACCATATTTGGGTCCAAATTGTATTATGCTTGTTCATAACCCTTGTATGAAGTGTCACTGCAGAGATCTACATACAGAAACATTAATTTCTCCATGTTGTGGAGGTGCGTTTTTAAGAAAAAGAGAAAAGGATAAAGAAAAGATAGAAGTGAAAGGTAGTCTGGATTAGTTGGAATATTTTATTCTGGTGTTTCTCTCTAAAACCTGTGAAAGTGTCATATTCTGTGTTATATAAACTCCAGGCTGAAGGGAAAGAGGTGATTCAGAGAGTGTAACAGTTTTTATTAATGTCTGAGTTTGACAGGCAGGTTTATTCATTTCCCCATAAACTCTCAGCTCAGGAGTGCTGGACTTTTTTGTCAGTTTGTTTAGCTGAGGTGAAAAAATGTGTGGCTACTTTAAATATACCTTGAATGGCAATTATAAATGATGTTGTATTTCATGATTTTTTTGGTGATGGTATTTGGTCAGACATAACATATGAGTCCTCAAACTGCTCCACTCAAAAAAGTGAAATATTAAAATACATTATGATATGTTTTATTTAGATCATAATATTTGTTGACAATATTGAACTTTTTTTGGACTGGACTGGGAAAGTTTTGGTAACATTTCATATAAAATGTGTATATTATGTAATTAGTATTTAATGTTAGTTCTGGTTGAAGCTTTTTTGTCTTTCAATATATTTTTCCCAATTTAAAGTGTTATTTTCCAGTAATTTCTATTGACTTTTGTACTTGCGCAGTGTGTCTACTGACAGGTATGTATAGAGCACAATAAAAGACCAGGTGCAGTATAATAAAGAGGAAACATAGACATAATAACATTAAGCTCTGTTAAAATTGTAGTATATTGGGTTCATTGTTCAGCGTTAAAGATCTGTAAATCATTCACAGAGAGGATTTTTCTGACACTGAGAGTCTCTCGTTTTCTATTGTTGACACTGTAGTGGAAGTCTATTGAAGAATAAAATCTGTTTCATTTTAAATGTATTCAATTTGGTCAGATTTGATTAATTCTAATATGTATTGTTAATGATAAAGTATTTATTAAAAATCTGACATGAGGAGTGCAATAGGAGGAAAAATGTTAATATCTAAGATCATTATTTTCAGGTCTTGTATATCAGAGTGTTTCTTTTGTGTTTTTTACAGTCCTGCTTCTTATTATGGTAAAATTATATTTATTGGAACTGATTCACTGCTAGGAACCAAATTTGTCTAGGTAGCTGCAGATAACTAGTTAGCAAATTAGACAAGCAAGGCTGAATATAACAGCACTTTAGAGCTATTTTTATGCACAAAATTATTCAAGATCATTTATGCAAATTTAGAGATAGCTAATGATTATTTTGTTGCAAATAATCAATGAGCTTATACCTAGCTCAGAGATATGCAAAATATTTATAAACCTAATTGTATTGCATGTGTACAAATCATACATCAAAGGGCTGATTTTCTGGAATATGAAAATGTACATTATTCTGTAAAATCCAGCAATAAATTGAGGGCACATGGATTTCTTCATTCTTTTTATGCTAATTAGAGCTTTTACAAAAACAACCAACATTTCACATTTACTATATGAGGTAGAAAATCAGAAAAAGTGTAGAGTTTTTAACTCCGTAATGAGTTAATTGCTATGATATAAATCAGGGATTGGGTTTTCATTCTAACCAAGCGAGAACACCTCATATAACTAAGGGTGAAACTAAGTGATGAAACAAAGAAGTGATTTCTGACACAGAGTGAGTGTCAGAAATTAATGAATAACTACTGTTATAATAACTACTATAAGCTTCTGTCTGATCAGAGTAACATTTAATGATCTCCCTATTGTTTCTGTCAGTGTCTACAAACTAAAGAAACAATAGGGAGATCATTAAATGTTACTCTGATCAGACAGAAGCTTATAGTAGTTATTATCACAGTAGTTATTCATTAACCTCATCAGGCAGGTTCATTCATTTTCCCATAAAATCTCAGCTCAGGAGAGCTGGACTTCAGTCAGTTTGTTTAGCTGAGGTGAGAAACTGAGTGGTTACTGAAAACACACCTCAGATGGTAAAGATTTACAGTGCTAATTTATTTCATAATATTTGTAATGAGGATTTTTTTCATATATAACTTAGACCTAATGCATAAATCCTGCTGCTGCTCCAAGCAAAAATCCTAAACATTAAAATAAACAGTATATTACAATATATCATATTTAGATTCTGGAACATACAGATCCAATTATCACAACACTTTCACTTTTCATGTGGGGCTACTGACCAGGCAACACTGCTTTGTTGGTAACCTTCTACACTTTTTAAAAAAAACAGATGGTTCTTCAAGGGTTCTTTAGTAAAGAAAATGGTTCTACATAGAACAATGAACACTCAAAGAACCCTCTACATGATTTAAGGGTTCTCTGCATTGTGTAAGTGTTCTTCAGATTGATGGATCATGTGTTGTAGATGGTTCTATATAGAACTCTTCCTGAAAACAGCACCAAAAAAGGGTTCCACTATTGTTACAAGCCAAAGAACCCCTGTTTGGTACTGTATAGAACCCCTTTTGAGAGTGTACATAAAAGTGCATATTACCTAGAACTTCAGTTCTCCTCTCTTTAGAAAGAATTTTTGTAAATTTTATTGTATGTCTGACTGATTTTTGCTTATACAGCATTACAGTTTGTCCAGTAATGGGTAAATGTGGGGAAATTTCACCACCATTTTATCTTGAGTGAACTAAATATGTTACATGATAAAGAGGCAACAAATAAAGATGGACACAGGTCCAGATGTCGACTCAGTGATGTGATACGGTCATTAAAACAGCACGCTGTTAAATCTATGTATCTTTCCTTTTTCCTATTTTTCGTATTTAAGTTCTATAATCAGTTCTATAATCTATGTTCAGTAATGAACATGGCGGGTCAGCAGCCGTTTCTACTCAGCAGCTTTTGGAAAAAATCATTAGATAAAAAACTGAACTTTATCTCAAACAGCAGAGTGGAGAACGTGTGTCTCTCTGCTCTGCTGATTCTTCTGTTTCCGCTGGTGGAGAAAAGCTCCAGAGTCACGTGCCTAAAACCGAAAGTGAAACTGAGCTGGTTTAGAGGAGCTGCTCGGTTTTCCTGCAGTGCTTATCTTTGAACATTTACTCAGACAGGAACTCAGATACAGGACTAATATAATCCCTAAGAGGCTGTAATGTGACCGACTCTGTGTAGATACAGTGTACTTTAGTCCACACAGGAGCGCGAGCTGCTCTGACGCAGAAGATCAAAGGAAAGGTAAGAATGATAGACACAGCAGTGAACTCAGTATCTGGATCATTAACAGAACAATTAATTAGGCCTAGACTGAACTGAGCGCCTTCTTAAATTATTAAATAAAATATAATATAAAAGATTAAATATAATTTTAAATATTAAAATATTTTAAAATATTAAAATATAATGATTTATCCAGTTATTTTAACGATTTACGTCGATATTTTACATAATGTAATACTACACTACCGACAGCATTGTGTTATTGTATTGTTGTTTGTTCTTTTTCTCTGTTGTCGTCTGATTATTATCTAAGGTTAGAAGAAGTTGGACACATAAAATAACTGAAACAATCATGTTTGAACCACAACCTATAAAAATCCTACAAAAGATTTTATGGAATCTGACACAAAGTGAGATTCTTTGTGATAATTTATAGATAAGTGAAAATTCTTAGTACTTAAAGCAACTTTAATTATATGCTTAAACATGTGAAAGGTTTTTTTCACATTTGTAAGTTGGGGCAAAACGTTGGATGCCAATAATAATAATAATAATAATAATAATAACGACAATAATAATAACAGTAACGATAATAATAATAATAATAATAATAATAATAATCAAACTTTAAAAAAACAAACATAATAGCAATAATAGCAGTATTAAAATAAAGTAAGCAATAATAATAATAATAATAATAATAATAATACTAATAATAACAATAATAATATAATAATACTAATAATACTAGAAAAACAAAGAAAAAAGTTGCTAATTATGAAATGATTGAAATTATATATTTTCAGCACCTTTTTAATAAGAAATTGATGTCTTTTCAAATTTAGATAACATTGACTGCATAACCCTGTGCTTGTAGATAGATATAATCAATAACAAGATTTGTTGTGAACACATTTTTGTTGATGTTCTTGAAAACATCAATTTGTTGCAGCTCTAAAATATTAACCAGTGTAGTGCAATTTGTTTTGATGTATTAATGCAGAAACCTGAATTTAAGCATTCATGTCATGGCTAGCCAACATTTGAATGTTATGGGATGGCAGGGAGGTGGACCCAAGTGCAAAGAGGAAAACCCATGAGAAAAGGTGTTAAATAAATTTATTGAGGCAATGGAATGTGAATCTGATACATCGGAGTTGATATGACCCAGAGCCAGGCTCGGACTGCCGATGTACTGATCGGCGGTCCGTGGAGTTACCGCTGCACCAGTGGGAAGCACAGACAATCCTTGAGGTAGGAAAAACCCCAAACAAAGGAAATGCTGAAAGCAGCTCAAACAAAGGCTGAACCAGAAAAGTGAAATAAAAGAGAATCACACACTCACACCTTTTCCTTCTGGGTTGTGGGGGGAGCTGGAGCCTATCCCAGCTGTCATCGGGCGGAAGGCAGGATACACCCTGGACAGGCCGCCAGTCCATCGCAGGGCAGACAGACATACACATTCACACCTAGGAGCAATTTAGCATGTCCAATTGGCCTGACTGCATGTCTCTGGACTGTGGGAGGAAACCCACACAGACACGGGGAGAACATGCAAACATGCACACAGAAAATCAAACCCAGGCCCTTCTTGCTGTGAGGCGACAGCGCTACCCACCCTGCCACGCTGCCACCCTAAAAGAGAATCAGAAGACAGAAATAACTTCCTCTGTAATTATGAAGGGAAGGCAGACTCTATGTTTCTCCTGTTTGCTCTTAGTGGAACAAACACCTTTTATATGGCTTGGAACCATTTGTAGATCAAGGCTTTTTGTGGTTTTTAAGTAGTTTTGGGGCAGTTACTTTCTTTTGTTTTTTTCCTGCCCTCTTTTCTTTTTGTTTTTCTTTTCTTTTCTTTTAACTACCCACCTGGGCTGCGTACCATACTGGTCACCCTAGAAAGGTGTAACAAAGGGCTGCTGTTTGCCACAGCCTTAAGTAGAGGAGTCCACAGGTGTGTCAGGTTGGGCCTAATCAGCCCGAGGGCTTCTGGGATTTGGAGTTCCCTGAACTTATGGCACCTTGCAGGCTGGGCACCTTGCCGCCGTTGCCCTTTGCTGGTGGCCTTCGGGGCAGGCTGGGCCCTTACATTAAACTTATGAACAGCTAGTGCAATTGGCTGCTGGCAGTTTTACATACGTTAATATGTACAAGCAAAATATGTACCAGTAATTACTTTACTACATATTTGAGTACCATATGTTAAATGTACTACCAAAGTGCTACCAAAAAAGTTGTTAGCTTAAATTCAGGATGGCTGGAGTAGTTCACAGACCTCTTAACATGTTCAATGATACATTTGTTTTCATTTCAGTTGATTTTGCAGTGCTAACTTTGACACTTCTAAACATTTAGGCTGTAAATGCTGTTGGTGCACATTCATATACTGTCCCTGAACACTTCCTGACAACATAACACTATATAAACACTACATGCACTGTAACTATAAGTAATTTTATTGTTTTTCAAAATATATATATGCCCATTTTGAATTTCATATAAGTAACACATTCCAATAAAGTTGGGACGGGGGCAGTTTTACTACTGTGTTTCAACTCTTCGTTTAACAATGTGAAAATGAAATGTTTTCCCATTCTTGCCTAATACAGGTTTCAGCTGCTGCACTGTTCGGGGTCTCCTTTGTCATATTTTTCATTTCATAGTGGGCACATGTTTTCAATGGGTGACAGGTCTGGACTGCAGGCAGGTCAGTTTAGCACCCAGACTATTTTAACACAGAACCGTACTGCTGTAATACATGCAGAATGTGGTTTTACATTGTCTTGCTGAAATAATCAAGGCCTTCCCTGAAAAAGACGTCGTCTGGATGGCAGCATATGTTGCCAAAACATGTATATATCATTCAGCATTAATGGTGCCTTCACAGATGTGCACGTCACCCATGCCATGTGCACTAACACTGATTTCAAATTTAATTCATTGGACCATGGGACACTTTTCCACTTTACTTCAGTTAATCTTAAAAGAGCTCAGGCCCAGAGAAGGCAGCAGCATTTCTGGATCCTGTTTTTATTTGGTTTCTTCTTTGTGTTTTAGACTTGCATTTGTGGATGCAGTGATGAATTGTGTTCACAGACAGTGGTTTTTAGAAGTGTTTCTGAGCCCATGCAGTGATTTCTTCTACATAATCATGTCTGTTTTTAATGCAGTGCTGCCTGAGGGCCCAGAGATCACGACCAGCAAATACTGTTTTTTGGCCTTGTCCCTTACACACAGAGATTTCTCCATATTCTCTGAATCTTTTAATGATATTATGTACTGTAGATGATGAAAAACAAAAGGTCTTCATACATTAAAAAACGTTTTTCTTGAATTGTTGCACTATTTGATCATGCAGTCTTTCACAGAGTGGTGAACCCCTCCTCATCTTTACTCCTGAGAGACTTAGACTCTCCGAGATGCTCTTTTATACCCAATGTTACTGTTTACCAGTTAATCTAATTAGATGTGAGATGTTCCACCAGGTGTTTTTTAGTTTTACACAACTTCACCAGTCTTCTGTTGCCCCCGTCCAAACTTTTTTGAAATGCGTTGCTGGCTTCAAATTCAATACGGGCATATATTTTTCCAAAAACAATAAAATGTCTTAGTTTAGACACTTGATGTGTTGTCTTTGTAGTTTTAATTAAATATAGGGTTTACATGATTTGCACATCATTGCATTGCTTTTATTCAAAATTTTACACAGTGTCCCAATATTTTTTGGAAATAGGCTTGTACTTGTTGATTATACATATATGTGTGTGTGTGTGTGTGTGTGTGTGTGTAAATGTACACCCTTACAAACCATATTTTTTTTATATTGACATCAGTGATTTTATTATTAGTTTTGAGTTTAGAATTTTGTCCTTGTTCTGAATACTACTACTAGCCCACTAAACTGCAGAAACTAATATAATAACTGTTAGGTAATTATAAAACTATATTAGTTTAAAAGAGCTGATATTTAGAAATGCATAATGCTCAATTACACCACTGGACCGTCTCATAATAATCTGGACCATTTCATGTTTTTCTGTTATTTTTCCACTAGATGGAGCTGAATGGCTGTATGTAGGCAGTGGAGTTTGTGCTGATCACTGAGGTCCTGCATATGTTTACCTTTGTGAAATAATGGCGAGGGAATCATAACCTCTGAAATGAGTCTCCCAGAGGAGCGCTGTGAGATCAAAAGGTAATCATATACAACACCGAGGCCCTTTATTCTGACTTATCTCCTCTTACTGACCCATTTTCATTCTGTGGATCTGTGGTTGGTATAACATATTACTCCAGTAGTCAGACACCATAAGGCTTAATTTTAGCATGGTCATCTTATTATCTGCAAGCATTGCATTGCATTGTGCCAGCTAGCATAATAACACACTAAAAACCTGTCAGGTTCAACAAGACTTCAAATAACGAACCCTTTATTATGGAAAAACCATATTACTGCCTGATGGAAAGAATTGAAGAGCTGCATGCAGTAAATGTGATGTTCAAAGGGAAGAGGCGAAACAGCTTAAAATGCCTGGATAATAATGCTACGTTTACACAGCAGGTAAAAGTGGCCCAAATCCAATCTTTTTCCTCATATGTGACACAGATGTGTCTGTGATCTGTGTGTCTGTGTAAGCAGCAAAAAACGCTTTGAGATGCTTCGTCATATTTTCGCGCTTCTGAGACTCATTAACATTTAGGCTGATGTTTCCGTACCAAAAAATAGAAGAAACTCATCGCAGCCGCTCTGTGTTCAAATAGGTTTCGAACTAAACGGGCGAACGCGGCTGGAGGAGACCGAGGATGCAGCGTTTAAAGAATCTGAGGTCACGATCCAAAGAAGTGTCCGTGACCGAATAACGCGCCCTTTTTACCGCGAACTCGAGCACACTGTGGGTGATGAGTCCAGCTGTCAACCACTGGAACTTCATAATCGCTCCTGTGATGCTGGCGAAGACGAAACTGAAGCTCTGGGAGCGACAGGCGTTCACTGACCGTCATGATTGTTTACCTCTGGACGAGCCGCGTGAAGCTCTGTTGTTTTGCGCATGCGGGTCAGTTTAGGAGCTGATCTGTTCAGACTGATGTCGCATACAGATCACATTTAAAAGATAATGTGAACAGCCAAACAAAAAAATCGGATTTGGTGAGAATGTCAGATTCGGGCCACTTTTACCTGCTGTGTAAACGTAGCCTAAGTTTTAGTAATTTTTAAAGAATGTGATCTGTACCTTACTAAACTTCAGCCAGGTTAGTTAGTGCACTGGCCAGTATACTTGATATTTAAACAAATGTGCCGTTTCAAGTTGCCTCTTGACTTCACACTTTACTGTTTATGCATACCAGGATAATCTTACTACATTTTTAATGTATGATGTGATTTGGAAATAGAAGAAACTGGTATGAAACGACATAACTGATTTGAAATATTTAAAATTCTATCAGGTTTAGAAAGTATGTGAATCATTACAATGTGAATCAGTGTATTTTATTAAATAAAATACTAACGAAGCTTCCTTTCTGATATTAGTGGAACTAAAAATAGGTCAAACTCCCCTGTGTCCAGCTGTGTGTCCTTGAAGAGTGACCAGTCAATGATAGATCCTCTGAACTTTAAAGGAGCATCAGTCTCTCTGGAAAGGTATTCCTTTATCTTTTTCTTACTCATTCTAACAACATGCATATTAGATTCTACATGCAGTAGAGAGTCTGTTACTGTACAAATACAATTCAACTGAAACTTAGTCTTTAAAAACAGCTGTTGACCAAGTTCATAATTAAAACAGCAAAACAAACACAAATATGTAACGAAGTCATTATTCTTTCCATTCTGTATGATTTTTATTTTAGCTTTAGTTGTTTTCTTTTTTTTATATAATGAATTTGAGCTCTTGCTTTGAAGTCCAGTGTAATGGTTTCAAAAGATGTCTTAAGCATGCAAAATGCATCACTGCATTTTATTAAATAGAATTTGCTAAAACATTTTCTTTCTGATTGTCAGTGGTACGGCAGAAAGATCAGACTCTCCTGTGTCCGGCTGTGCATCTTTGAAGAGTGACCAGTCAATGATAGATCCTCTCAATTTCAAAGGAGGATCAGTTTCTCAGGAAAGGTGATCTTTTATTTTCCTCTTGGTCATTCTGATCAGTAAATATATATCCTTTTTGATGTCTACAACAACAAACTAGAAAACTGTCAAGCAATAAAAAAATGCATAATATTGTTTCATAAACGATGCAGTTGGTCTGTAATGTCACAGTAATGTAAGTAAAGATGGTGAGCAGTAGCACTGCGGAAAACAAGGAGTGAGTTTATCGAAGAAGATGAATATTGAAGATGAGGAGCAGCACTGTTGAGGAAGATAAAGAACAGGAGTGCTGTGTAAGAAGAGAAGCCGGAGTGCTGAGGAAGATGAGGCTGCGCTGCTGAGGAAGATTAAATCTATAAAGCAACTTAAAATTGGACCAATACGAGCAATAAATTAAATATGGAAATAACTGAATGGGTTCAAAGAAGTTGCATTGAAAATCAGCATGTTTTATGAAATAAATTTGCTAACACAGTTTTCTTTCTGATTTTAGTGGAACTAAAGAAAGATCAGACTTTCCTGTGTCCAGCTGTGTGTCTTTGAAGAGTGACCAGTCAATGATAGACCCTCTCAACTTCAAAGGAGCATCAGTCCTTCAGGAAAGGTATTCCTTTATCTGCTTCTTGTTCATTTAATCAGTAAATACCATAAATATCTAACAAACTGGAAATAAAACTGTTAAGCAAAAATAAGAAAAAAATTGCATAATATTGTTTTATAAATGAAGCAGTTAGTCTGTAGTACAAAGAAAAAAGCATTATAATATTGATTCGTACATGACGTAGTTAGTCTATAATGCCAAGAACAAAAGCATAGTAATATTGCTTCATAAATGATGCAGATTAATCTTTGATGTCAAATGTTTTTTTCTCTTTATATGTGTTTTTTAAATGTTTTAATTTCTTGTATATTTTGACTGCAGTGATGATACGGGGTCAGAGTCTGCTGTGACAACGGACAAGCTTCAAAAGAAGAGTAAAGAACATCTGAAGAACATCTTTAATGTAAGACTCAAAGTATATTTAGTAATTTCCTATGAATGGTTTTCATAAGTCATCCATCTTCATGAGCACTGCATGAAATCTACCTAAGCACTTGTGAATGTTGTTCTTGTTGGCTTCAAGTAACAGCTGAAAAAAGTTTCGTTTTCATTTTAACAGCTAGTGCATTGCTATATATTTGTTATTAAGTTTACAAGTACACAAACTTATAAATAAAAATAAAAGAATGAGATCGAAGCAAATGTTGTGGATCAAGAAAAAGGAAAGTAGCAAATAAAATAATAGGAGGAGAGAGTTGATTTTCACGGTCTGTGTACCTTAGTAAAACACACAAATATTTATTTCCAAGTTAAAGGTGGAAGAAAACTAAGACTCTAAAGTCTAGGAATTGCCCACCAACAACTTTTGATATTCAATTATCTGTAAAGGTTGATGAGTGGATAATTGGATGACCACACAGGGAAGGAAAAACATAAACATCTGGATAGGATCAGGGCTACCTTTTCAGAGCACTGGTGTTGCACACCACATTGCTTCACATAAATACACATGCACTTGGATGGTATTTGATGAACAATAAAAATGTAGTCAGTACTATTTAAATGCATAATGTAACCCTTAAACATTAATAAAATATTAATTTGATAAGTTAAAAGCTAGAAGAAAACACATAAAAATGCATAAAAAGTACAAAATCCAAGAAATATTCCAGTCCCAGTCTTGCACAGTCCAAACCTTTTGCCATTTCAGTAACAGTAGTCATAAACTGAAGCATCCATGTAGCTCAGCTTGGTCCTTCAGTTTATGACTGCTGTCGCATTGCTTCATCCAAGTGGCTTAAAAGCGAGTATCTATTTGTTCAATTCATTTAGCATTTTTTTAATTAAAATATCCAACAGAGGGTAAAGTCTAACAAAATGTGTTTGGTCAAACCTGATCTAAAGTATTTAATGTCCTGGATCTCAGTTGCATACTGCCTAGGCATTACCATCTCACATGTTTTTAGTTGAATATGCTCTCCTTCACCCAGCATCGGTAATTGTAGGCTGACAGGGACCCGAAGTAGATGGAACTACAAATTTATGTACTTGCAGAAATAGGTTCCATTCCCTAATTACCTCCTGGGTCAGTTTGCTCACTTGGCGACTTATGTTCTCCAGAATCTCCAGGTTCAATTCTGTTCTACAGTTAATCTCTAATGGATGATTAGATTCATTATGCTCTTTCACTGCAACACAAGATGTTTCAAACTTTGTATGCACATATTCTGTGTTCATTCTCCTTTAGCAGGGATTTAACTCATTGAACATTCTTGCTGGAGTTCAATAAGCTAAGTGTGTGAAATCCTACAAGATGGCCCACTTTAGCCCCCAAAGTAACTGTTACTTTAACTGGGCTTTGTCTAGCACAGCTCCCTCAATCGTGACAAGACTCACTTAGCATTGGCTAATTCCTTAACCTCTAATAATCTCTGTACTTATTCTTTCCAGTTAATGTCTTTAAACATACAGTAGGCAGCCATGGTGCACTAGGAAATATTGGTATCATCATGATTCAAATTTTAATTTTTCTTTGAACACTGAACACTGTTCCAACCCCCAACACTGCTTGCTCTGCCATAGTTCATAATAGGATATGGGCAGTGTGAGAGATATGGTCAGGATGGTTTATGTTTGAAAGAATAAAATGGATTTGATTATTTTCATCTAAAAGTGAAACAGTACCAAACAGCCAGACACAGGGGCTGGCTCAATCATTTCTCACAAAACTAAAAGAACCCACATGAAAAAAATATGAAAAGAATGTCACCCAAGAAATACACAGTCCCAGGTATACAGTTATATGGTGAGTGGCTTATTTTTCACAGGAAAAAAAGGAAGTCATTGACTGTAAATATATAGAAAAAATGTCATAAAGAAAAAAAAAATATCTGAAGAGGACCCACTGTGTCTGACTCCACCAGAAAGCTGTCCCTGACTGGTTGAATCCCAGCTTGGTAAAAAGTGATCCTCTGTCTTGAGACAGCAAATCTAGTGTTACATGTTAGTGTTTTAAGCAAGTTGGCCAAACAGAAAATTGTGCTTTTAAAATAAAAATGCTTTTAAAACAATGTGAAATTATTTGAATGATGTGTATCATTTTGAGTATCTCTATATTTTGTCCTCAGGAGCTTGAGAAAAAAATCTTTAAGTTCATAAAGGATGAGCTGGAAATCTATAAAAAACATCTAACAAAAAAAGACATAAAATATTGTGGAGATGTGAAGGAAGACAAGTGGAATTTAAGACAAGGAGTTCTTAATATGACACAGTACTTCTTGAAGAAGATGGAACAGAAGGAACTCGCTGATGCACTGCAAAGTAAGAGCTGACAATATGTGGCATTACCTAAATTTATATGTAATTGTTGGAAAAAAATGTAAATGAAAGTGGTAGCTTTGATTTTTTTACTACACAATTGTTATTATTCACAAGCTACAGATACATTTATTTTACACATTCTTTATATCATCAGACAAAGTGGTTCATTCTCTAATTATCTCTGTTGTCTTTTTAACTATTTAATTAGATGAACTGATTGGAATTCAACAGTATGCACTCAAAGCTAAACTGCGCAAAAAGTGTCATCATGTACATGAAGGAATTGCAAAGCAAGGAGAGTCCACTGTTCTAAATAAGATCTACACTGAGTTGTACATCACTGAAGGTGGTGCTGGACAGGTCAACAAAGAACATGAAATGAGACTCATTGAAAAAAACAATGTAACAAGAGACACTAATCAAATGGAGCAAGAAGTGCAAATCAAATGCAAGGACATGTTTGAACCTTCAACTGAAGAAGACAAGCGCATCAGAACTGTTCTGACTCAGGGAGTTGCAGGTATTGGAAAATCAATCTGTGCGCAGAAGTTTATTTTGGACTGGGCTGAAGGTAAAGAATATCAGGACATCCAGTTCATCTTTCCACTTCCCTTCCGAGAACTGAACCTGAAGAAAGGAAGTCAGAGTTTGATGGACATCATCTATTTCTTCTTCCCTGAAACACAAGGATTGACATTATCGAATGAGCACAAAGTCATGTTCATCTTTGATGGACTGGATGAATGTCAACTTCCTTTGAGATTCCAGACAAATGAGACCCTGAACAACATCTCAGAAGAAGCCCCACTGGACTCTGTGATGACGAGCCTCATCAAGGGAAATCTGCTTCCCTCTGCTCTGATCTGGATAACCACTAGACCAGCAGCTGCTGCAAAGGTCCCTGCAGAGTTTATTCACCGAATGACAGAGTTACGTGGCTTCAATGACTCACAGAAGGAGCAGTACTTCAGAAAGAGAATCAGTGATCAGGACCTGGCAGAGAAAATAATTGATCATATTAAACAATCAAGAAGCTTGTTCATCATGTGCCACATCCCTGTCTTCTGTTGGATTTCTGCAAATGTACTTCAGGAAATTTTGCAAAAAAGAAAGAATAAAGAAACACCAAAGACACTGACAGAAATGTACACCTGCTTTCTGATCTTTCAGACCATACAGGGGAACCTGAAGTACACTGGAAATAATGATTCGGATGTACCCTGGGACAAAGAAGGCATTATGTCAATGGGAGAGTTGGCTTTTCATCACCTGGAAGAGAGCAATCTGATCTTCTATAGAGAGGATTTAGATACATGTGGCATTGACCCCAGTAAGATGTCAGTGTACTCAGGACTGTGTACTCAGGAGACAGTCAGATTTCTTGGCACAGTTTACAGCTTTGTACATCTCAGCATTCAAGAGTTCCTTGCTGCATTATTTGCATACATTTCTCACAGAAATGACAACAAGAATGTTTTAGACCATCAGTCCACACCACAGGAGAGCAAGAAAACACAAGTCATTGATTTTCTCAAGGCTGCAGTAGACCAGGCTTTGAAGAGTGACCATGGACACCTGGACCTTTTCCTTCGCTTTCTTCTGGGTCTCTCTCTGGAGTCTAATGAGCAGCTCATTCGAGGTCTGCTGACCCAGAAAGGAAGCAGGTCTGACTGCCAGAAGGACATAGTTGAGTACATAAAGTCAAAGTTTAAGGAAAATCCATCTCCAGAGAGATCAGTCAATCTCTTCTACTGTCTGAATGAGTTAAATGATGATTCTCTAGTGAAAGAGATCCAGAGTTACATGAGCTCAGGACGTCTCTCTGAAGCTGAACTCTCACCTGCACAGTGGTCAGCTCTGGTCTTTGTGCTGCTGACATCCAAAGAAAAGCTGGATGAGTTTGACTTAAATAAGTTCATCGGATCAGAGGAGTGTCTTATTAGACTGCTGCCGGTGGTCAAGGAAGCCACATCAGCTCTGTAAGTAGTTTCTCCACACAGCTTAATAAAACATTAAAACAAAACACATCTAGTAAAAAAATAAAAATCAAGGTGCCATCAAGTCACCTCCAGCTCTGGGCAACCAGATGCATAGTTTTCCTCCAGCAAATTTTGTCTTCTTTTTAGGATTTTAGACTTCTTAATGGCTGCTTTAGCTTTCCTCTGATTGTCTCTGTTCATCTCATTACTGGCCTTTTTTCATCTTTTCTTGTACCTCCAAATGATACAAGCATAATTGTCTTTTACAGTAAATTTGTTATTTGAATATTTCCATAACAAGAGCATTAGTTTGTTAATCTGGGTTTCAAATGAGAGGTAAGGCTTAATTTGGTCAGGGATCTATTTGTACTGAGGTACTGTCAAAAGTCTTTGCCAACATCAAAGTTCAAAAGTATCAGTATTTTTCCTGCAATAGTATCAATAGTTTTTCCTGTACTGATTTGGTATTGTCCAGCTTTCCCAACCATAAAGTATCACAGGAAAGACAATTTTAAGAGACACATCACTACATCTTTAAGAGACATATCATTATATCTGAAGATTTGTTCTGCCATATGCTAATATGTGTCATATTTGCTGACTGAATTGGCTAATTTGAATACTGGAGGTGCCAAAATACAGATCCACACAGAATGCTTTTACAACCAGACAGAGGAAAATTGAGAGAAAGAAGAAAATCTCTCTAAAGGAGCTGGGAATTTCTGAAAGAGGAGGCAAATGTCAGCTCCTAAAAGATAAAAGTTTGGGAAATCCCCAAAAAGAAAATAAATACAATTAAAACAACCAAAAGTCTGAGAATGAACAAAAAGCGTGACACCCAGCATGTCAACGATCATGAGAGAATCATGAGAGAGAACAAATATTGTTATTGTATGTAGCTTATATAGTCCTTTAACTCACATCCACTCACTTTCTTTAATAAAGTTCATCATTGAGTAAACATTATTTGTTGGAGGGTGATATAAGAAGAAATAAATATGTGAGCATCATTTCAATTCTGAGGGAGCCAGAGGTTTGTTGTAAAAATAAAAATAAATTAAAATAAAACTACAAAGTATTCAAATTAGCCAATTTTCCTGTCACCTCCTAAACAACAGGACGTAGTAAATTATGCGCAAACTACAACCAGCAGCACACACTTTACTTTAGCATGAGCAACAGGTTTTTTTTAGCTCCTTAGTAAAGCTGGCCTTTGGGTCTTATAACTATAATAACTATAATAACAAATTTATCAGTATTTAATGTGTACACTCTTTACTTTTGTGCACCTATTGATGCTTTAACTCTTCATCCATCCAATACTAAAACCAGAAAAATACAACATTGTCCTCCCAAAAAAACCTGTTCACAAAGAATTCATTCTTCAAACAGATTCCCACAAACACCTACCCAAACTCACCTTAGCTGCCTCACACATTTCTCCCTCATAAGCATGTAAAATGACTACAAGAGATATTTATGAGAAGATTAGATATAAGATAAACCACATGCATTGTGAAGAAGTGAGTCAAAGCAATATCAATTAAAAACCAGGAGTTTCCTTGAGATACAGAGAAAATGGAACTTCTAACAACCACCTTCAAGACCTGGTAGACAAAACAGCCCCATCAGACAAAACAGTACTTAAAGCTTTCATCTTCAGAGAAAGGAGAAAGTAAATGTCCACTCTTGCTTCAGATATTAAAAATCCACAGGTGTTTCTGTCTATTCTGTGGTACGATGGGGCAGTAATCATTCAATTGGATCATAGTTGATGTCTTCTGCACTTTGAAGCATTCAGGGATGACAGTCTGACTCAGAGATGTTGAGGATGTCTGAGGATAACTGCCAATTGGCCTGTACATTCCCTGATTACACGTTCTGGTGTGTTTTCAGGTCAAGCAGTCTTGCATAGGTTGATTATAAACCCTGTCTAGGAAGGAGGTGCCACTAATACAAGCATGTGGTTGAGATTTGTAGGTGGTGATTGTGTGAATGCTTTTCCACGTGCACTGTATGTGCCTGGTATTTTGTAACATTACCAGATGCAAATTTCACTACCAGCTTTGTTATTATCAGTTTCATCTTTAGCATTTTGATTTATTCAGAGTTAGATCTGCTAGAAATGTTTAGAAGTTTGATTTTAACATCTTAGCAACTGGATTCTGAGCTGAACTCTTGAACTCTTGTTCTGTACATACTATGTGTTGGGGTATGACAATACATTGATTCTGATCAACTAATAGATTCTAAGGCTTTACTGTAATTGCGAGTCCAATGTAATTATGTTCTCACTGAGCAAAGCCAAAGCTACTGTGAAGGGTTGCTCAGTGCTGCCTGTTCCCAGCAGAGGGCAGCAGCAGAGGCGCTCATCTAGGGCACCCTACACCAGGGACTCCACCTCCCAGAATGCTGCAGGCTGACTGCCTTAACTCAGCTGAAGGAGTGCCTACATAAGCTCCAGAGTTACACACAGAAAACGCTCCACTTTGTACAGGGGTAGCCTGTAAACAGTACAAAACAAACAGAATAAGAAAAAAAAGATAAACCAAAAAAAAAAAAGGAACAAAAAGAAAAGAGAAACTTTTTGCAAAGTAAAGATTAAAGGAGAGTTATGAGTGAAAAAATACAAACAGCTCTACAGCAAAGAGAAAAGGAGAAATGGAACTGTCAAAAGAAAAAAGAGTCTTTGTTCCTTCCAACCCTGTTTGTAGTCAGTGCACACCCTGCACTTGGGTCCTACACTGTACTAACACAGCTCCAAGTGATATAATATCAACTACAACTGATACTATGACTTGTATTTTGAGTTGTTCTATAAATGATCTTTCATAAAAACTCTCTATTCTACTTCTAGGCTGAGTAACTGTAACCTTACAGAGAAAAGTTGTTCAGCTCTGTGCAAAGTTCTCAGCTCAGAATCCTCTAACTTGATTAAACTGGACCTCAGTAGTAATAACCTACAGAACACAGGAGTGAAGCTGCTTTCTGCTGCACTAAAGAGTCCACACTGTAAACTGGAGGAACTGAGGTGAGTTCATCAAATTGTCTTGAAGGGGTGTCAACAGGTTTCCTTAATCTGTTTAAGCTTGTGTTTGAATTGGGTGGGACTATGTTGGAAGAAGCTGTGGTCACTGTAGTTTGATGTCTTTATCAAATCAAAGAGCATGGTTGTAAAAGTGAGTGGGCCCAATTATGTTTTGAGTGTGACACCAACAGAGGGTGAATGGTAGACATATGACACACAGATTTTACCTACGGAAGAAATTTGCTGTATTCTCTTGAGAATGAGAGACTTTTGTTCTTTCTTTAGACTTTCATACTGCAGTATAACAGAGGAAGGATATGCTGCTCTTGCTTCAGCTCTGAAATCAAACTCCTCATCAAACCTGATAGAGCTGGATCTCAGAGGGAATGATCCTGGAGATACAGGAGTGAAGCTGCTCACTGATCTGCTAGAGGATTCAAATTGTAAACTGAAAACACTGAGGTAGGTACAGTGCTGTGAAAAAGTATTTGCCCCTTCCCAATTACTTCTATTTTTTCATATTTGTCACACTTCAAAGTTTAACCCAAGTAAACACAAATGCTGTTTTAAAGGAGCATTTAATTTACTGAAGGTAAAATGCTGTTCAGCTCTACCTGGCCCTATGTGAAAAAGCAGGTCAATGTACATAATAAGAAAGACAATGGGGCAAAAATAGCATCCATGGGAGAGCTGCATGACACAAACTACTGCTAACCAAAAAGAACACAAAGGCTCATCTTGCATTTGCCATCTTGATGACACTCAAGACTTTTGGGATAATTTTCTGTGGACTGATTAACCTTTTGGAAGATATTGGTCCCATTTCAACTGGCATAAAGCTAATACCAACAGTGAAACATGGCAGTGGTAGTGTGATGGGCTAGAGCTGCTTTGTTTCTCCAGGATCTGGACAACTTTTCATAATAGATGGAACCATGAATTTTGCTCTCAGAAAATTCTGAAAGTGAATGTCTGCCAGTCAGCTTGTTAGCTGAAGCTTAAGCACAGTTGGGTTATGCAGCAGGGCAATGATCCAAAGCACACAAGAAAGTCCACCCCTGAATGGCTCAAAAGAAACAAAATCAAGGTTTTGGAGTGGCCGAGTCAAAGTCCTGACTTGAATCCCTTTGAAAAGCTAGATCTTAAATGGACAGTTGATGCTTGAAAAACCCTTGAATGTAGCCAAATTTAAAAATTCTATAATGGGCCAAATACACATCAATGTAAGAGACTCGCCGTAAGTTTGATGCTGTTGTTCCCGCCAAGGGTGTCACAACTGCTTATTAAGTTTAGAGGGGCATTACTTTTTTACCTGGGTGATCATAGGTTTGAATAAATCTTCAATAAATGGAATAATTATTTAAAAGTTGCATTTGTCTTTACCTTGTTGTCTTATCTTATGTTAAATTAGTGGGTTGTCTAAATTGTTTAATGTGACCATTTAGCAAAAATAGAAGAAATTAGGTGAGGGGCAAATACTTTTTCACTGCACTGTAATAAGACTTCTGAGGATTGTGACCTTGTAAATGTCAAACTCACAATCACACTTTATTTAAAATATGTATTTATTTCTGTTTTTATGAACAGACATTTCTACCCACACTATTAGAGATTCTGATCCAGTGCTTAGAGACAGTTCAGATTTTATTGCATAAAAAGTAAATTAGTGGTTTGGAAAGGGTGCCTAGGTCCAGTCCTGGTGATTTACTGCCATGGAATTTTTGTTAAACACCTTGCTGTAATATTCTGATGCTCCTAAAAGCCTGATTTACTGAATCAGGTGTGTTAGATTAGGACTGGAACTAATGCTCCTGGAAAGAAGATGACCAAGACCAGAGGTGGGCCCAGATAGTTAATCTTACCCATTACAAATTCATTGATTCTTTAATATTTTTCCAATAGGAATGAATGGCAGAAGTGTTATCCACCCCACTTATATTTCAATCATGCAAGTACACTAGAAACACCCTAGCAACCACCTGGGATACCACAGCAACCATGTAGCAACACCCTAGCAACCATGTGAATTACCATAGCAACAACCTAGCAACACCCTAGCAACCATCTGGGATGCCACTGCAATCACATAGCAACATCCTTCTAGCTATGTGGAATACCATATCAACCACTAGCAACATCCTAGCAAGCTCTGGGGATACCACAGCATCCCCCTGCAGCCCCCTAGCAAACAACATGGAATACCATCTCAGCCACATATCAGCAAATTAACAATGATATGAATACTGTAGCAACTACTTAGCAACACCTTTTCAACATCTGGGCTACCATAGCAACTGCTTAGCAACTGATTAGCAAACCCAAAGTAACTGCCTAAAAATCCTCAGTGCACAAATCCAAGTCTATGACAAAGCTTTTCCAGTAATTAGAAATACCTTCCTTTAAAACAAAACTAATTACAACAGAACAGGAGGAGCTTACATTCTATAAATATACATATAAACAAACATATATTACACATTACACCTTCAGACATTCTTCGGTTTAAAAAATTAGGCCTTTTGGGTTTAACATAATCCATTTTGCCCAAATCTGGTTTTACATGTTGAGGGATGTGGAGAGCTTTCCATTATGTAGATATTGTGTATTTATCCATCCATTTATTCACTGTACGTTACTCAAGATTTAACCATTTCCTGGTAATTGCCCTTTATTTCGCTACTAAAAGTATGAGAGTCAATTTCCTATCCTTGTTCTTTCACATGTGAAAGGAATGTTACCCAGATATAAACAAACAACTTTAAATGAATGTCCTTTTCAAAAATAGCTTCCAAATTTCTGTGTATCCTCTTTCAGAAGGGAGCAAGAGCCCCACATCCCCTAAAAAAACATGAAAATGGTCAGCATCATTTTTTCCACAGTGTCTCCAGAATCCTGTACCAGTACCCAGATGTTTTTGCAAGGGTGTGATAGGAAAGCTCATAGTATTTTCCCAAGAACAATTTCTTCACATGCTTGAATGAGTTGATTCCCATTGTATTTGGTATACTGTATTTCATTCATCAACTGTAATTAGCGTGGTACCCACCTTTTTCCCCATTTCTGTTGAACGTAAATCATACATTTCACATTTAACATTTCATCATTAACAAATAATTTTCTGCACACCTCCAATTTACATGTTGACAAAAATAGTCATAATTTCTACTTCAATTGTTTTTAAAGCTTTTGATTAAAGTAGTGCCAGACTTGTAGATGTAAAAGTCATTTGATCCCAAAACCATATTTTTCTCTGCAAAGAATTAAAACTCATAAAGGTTTCATTGTCAAGTGTGTATAATTTGAAAGCTGTTTTTGACTCAGGCCTGAAATCTATCTTCAAATTTATTTGGGTTAAAATCTGTGTCATATGCACAACATTTTAATAGCAAAGATGAGTTTTGTAAACTACTTAACTCACAAATTCTCATGGCGGTGTTAATCCATGGATTTTCTTATCTATCGTTTGATTTTTTAGTTTGCTATCAATGATCATAGCTGCTGTTGGACACCCCTCTATTTCAGTCCATCTTGCTGAATATGTTGGGTTACACAAACCTTAACTGAGCTGCATAACAGTAGTCTTGTGGACAAGGAAGTTTCAGTCCTTCCTTTTCCTTTGTTACTGCAACATTTATACTTAATCCTAGGCCTTTTCAACCACCATAGTGTCAAAAGCTTTTTTTCACATCTAAGCTTGTGAAAGCTGCTCTAATCAATGCTGGGTAATGTGTCTGATAATATGTAGTGTCTGCCATTTTTAAATGCTAATGAATGTGTTTTTCCCCCTTTTTACAGACGTGAGCAGTTCTGCTGCAGAGGAAGCCTGTGATTCTCTGACTAAAGCTCTAGGAATAAACCCCTTACTTGCGGAGCAAGCTGGATCTGAGTGGGAAAATACAAGGAGATTCAGAATTGAGGAAGATCTCTGATCTACTGGCAGATTTACACTGCAGACCTAATAATCTCAAGTGTGTAGTTTAATGTAATATTAATATATATATATATATATATATATATATATATATATGATTTAAAATAACATTATCAATGTGCATGTGTACATGAAATAAAATAAAAATGTACCAAAATTGCTCAGAAAAATCTCTTTCCATTGACTTACTGAAAAGTAAAGAACATTTTTGCCTTCTCATGTAAAGTTACTGTTTTGGAGAAACATGTTTTTCTTTGGACAGTTACAATGCGACTGTATATATACATATTTGTGTTTGTGTGTTTAATATAAAATTTGCATACGTTTTCTCATTCTGCAGGCTGAATAAGTGCAGTATTACAGGGGAAGGCTGTGCTGCTCTATCATCAGCTCTTGTTCAAATCCTTCACACCTGATAGAGCTGGATCTGAATGAGAATAAACTAGGAAACTCTGGAGTGAAGCAGATCTGTACTCTACTGAAAAATCAGTGCTGTAAACTGCAGAAACTGAAGTGAGTTCTAGTTCTTTCACAAAGACCACTAAATGCTGAAGGCATTTGTATGATGGAATAAAATGCAATCAGAAGCATATTTTATAGGATATAGTCTATTTAAAAGCACACATTTCCATCATGCTGTTTCAGTACAGTTACATATGTTTTCTTTCCAGTCTTTCATTCTGCAGTATCACAGAGGAAGGATATGCAGTTCTGGTTTCAGCTCTGAAATCAAACCCCTCATCATACCTGATAGAGCTGGATTTCAGAGGGAACAATCCTGGAGCTACAGGAGTGAAGGAGCTCACTGATCTACTAGAGGATCCAAACTGTAAATTGAAGACACTGAGATAGATAGTTTAGGGTATATATTTTAGTTTCTTTTTGAATATGAGGGAAAAAGCTTGTAAATGTAAAACTCTCAATGCTCAAACAGTTTTCTACAGCTCATAGTGTGTTTATTTGATTATTAATGAGTTTACTTTTTCAGGAGATGTTTTTTCTATGTACCGCATTCTGTCCAAAATACATTTACAAACCTTTTGTTATTTGCTGATAAAATAAATGAATGATTAGAGTTCTAAATGAATAAGCTGACTGATAATTGTTTTGCACTGTCAGTACTATTATTGATTATTAGTGATTAATGGGACTGATACCCAATATTTGAAGTTTAGTACTGTAAAAATGAAGAACTCTTACTCACAACTTGCATTAAATTAACATAATACTAGAACATCACAAAACAGGGTTTGAGCTTTAGACAGTATAAATGTTAGAAAAATATTAGCCCAATAAATTTTAAATCGATATTGTTTTTATAATTTTACAATTTCATTTTTAAATTTTACCATAACAGCAACAAGAAATGTCATAACATGAATAACAATAACTTTATAAACAACTCCTCAATACTAAGTGAGGAAAACTGAAACCTTTTGTCTCATTTCCTCAGCAGTGTCTATTGAGTCATGTTCTCCAGTACAAACGGTCCTGTTCTTGCCATATGTTGCTGTGACTTCATTGAAAACATGTCCACTTGGTGCACAGGAGGGTGGACAACAGAGAATATCTGACTTGAAAA